ATATATATATATATATATATATATATATATATATATATATATATATATATATATATATAACATTGGGCTACAATAGTGGGCTGACTCGTTTTGTGTGCTCCGAAATACCCATTCTTGAGAGAGTGGTTAGTTAAAAAATATGGTTATTATTTTTACAAATATACTAATATGCGGTTAGATTAGTCAATTTTCTTAAAAAAGTATCCAATTTAGATATGATTTATTAATAAAAAAAGTATTTTAACAACGATTTTGTCGCCGGTAATGGTCGATTTTTTGTAGTGTGAACACTACATTGAGTGATGCGGTGAAGGACCTCGTAGCAAATGAAACTCCCGAGTCTTTTTCTTGTTTCTCCTCTCCCAACGTCTATTAAAAACTAGTTATTTTTTTAATTACCACTATAAATATAACACCTTTTACTCCTTATTTCATACAGCCTTGTGCCATTTTCTACTATTATTCAAGCCTTCATTTATCAAAATAAATCCAAATAACCCTTCCACCAATCTCACCTCAAGATCCAGTCGAAACAAATCGTATGGAAGTGGTTCAACGACACCGATTCGAAATGTTTTTGCTTTCAATTTGTCCATTTACCTACCATAATTAGATGCTCCTATTTGTTCACCCTTACCCAATCTCAACCCCAACAATTTTACAGTCAAAATGTACTACAATATTACTTTATGCAACCTGTTAGCCCAACCTTATTTCAAAATTTTCCCCGCTTCCTGTATACGTTCCAGGAAGCCAACCCCCCAACCAAGTCGTAAATCAAGTTTGTTCAGGAAATGCAACCAGAGTCACCCGAAAGCCATAGCCCAACCTGCTCTCAAACTGTCGGACCCCAAAAGAAGAAAAAGTGTTAGCGGCATCATGGGTCAACATTTCCGAGATTCCAAAACATGTAAATATGCAAGCAAATGATAATTTTTTGCTACGATTACCGAGCAGTTTCATAATGAAATGGGTCATGGCAAGTACTGAGCGGTTTCATAACAAAACACCAGTTGACGGCCAAATTTCGTGAAATGAACAAAACTGTTACAAAATTCAATGGACGTGCGACAACCTGAATGGTCCATGGAAAAGCGGGTAAAGTGATACAAACGTTTTCGAGATGACGGTGGAAATATTTAAGATCGACAATAATAGTTTTTCAAAATTTGAAAGTTCTTATTAAATTGCTAGAGGAAATATGTTTTTGGAAAAGAATAAGAAGGTGGTTCTCATTAAAGCTGTGAGGAAAGATGTTTTTGGAAAAGAATAAGAACCAAAAATTTTGAAACGAGTTACACAACTTCGTTGGATGCTCCCCTACTTCTCATTAAAGCTGTGAGGAGTTGTGTCGACATTGTCGAGCGCCAACTCCTTCTAAACCAACAGCCACATCAGCCAAATCTTGCCAAGAGGATAGAGACTCAGTAAGAGGCATGTCAATGTGAAGGGGCGGTGTTCCCCTCATTATCGAGCTCTATGTTAGCCTCCACCTCATCCTTGTCGAGTTCTCATTCTTCTTACTCCCTACAACCTAATATGAAATGACCACTTCTCACTACTACTTTTTTTCTTCTTTAATTAAATATATAAAATTATAATTTAATATTTTTGTAAATATTTAAAAGAATAAAAGAAGAATATTTCATTAATTTAATAATAAAAACCATTACATAGTAAAAACAACAATCGATTAAAAAAATATAGAAAACTCAAATAGAAATATATTTTCATAATGTCATTTTTTGTCCTCAAAACCATCACGAGTTCGTCTCCCGAAAGATAATCGACGCTTTGCGATAGAAATTTCATATCACGATTTTTTTTTCTTTTTGTTCATGCAGTCTTTGCTTATCTTCTCGCGCTTTTTGCTTCTTCTCTCATGCCTTTTCTTTCTTTGTCAATTTCTCTTTTTAGAATTGCAAACGAGCTTTGAAATTCAAATTATATAACTCGAAGTTATTTATCATCTTGTGTATGTCACTGGTGTCTTTGAAGCACTTCTATACAATTTGTTTCAACATGATCTTATGGTGAGATTGATGGGCGGATTTTTATATCCATTTTGGTAAAAGGAGGTTAGAAATAATAGTAGAAAATGATAGAAAGTCATGAATAAGGAGTAAAAGGTGTAGTATTTATAGTGTTAAATTTAAAAGGAAAAAAATAATAATAATCCAAACTAACCGTTTATAGCCGTTGAAGAGGAAAAAAAAAAAAAGAAATAAAGTGCGGGAAAATAGCAGTCACAACAAAAGTCACCGCATCACTGCATATCGAAGAATCATCGCATCACTGCATACCGTTTATAGCCGTTGAAGAGAAAAAGTGCGAGAAAATAACAGTCACAACAAAAGTCACCGCATCACTACATACCAAAGAATAACCGCATTACTGCATACCGGTTTGCATAGTATAATATTCATTGTACAACCACGGTTAATATAAGTAACATGTCACCATTATGTTACTATAGATGTATATCGTCTTGCTTTACCCTTATGTAACAAATTTTATTTTGCAATTTGGTCGCATTTAAAATAGACCAAATAGGCAACCTTGGTGGTTTTATTGAAATTTACTGAAATCAAAACTAGGGCACCAAAAATTGAGCATCTTAATAGGACACGAATTCTGTCATCGTCATCTTTGATCTCTTTCGATCTGTTCTTGTAAGAATCAATGGCGATTTCAACAAACTCTCCGGAGAAAACAACCACAGAGCAACCAAATCCCACCCAACAACACGCTCCTGATAATCCGAATCCACCAAATTCGGATCTATCAAATTCGTCGGCTGCACCACCTTCTGCAACTCCCGCCACAACCACCAACGCCCCAGTAGTAACAGTAAACCTTAACCATACCCTTAATAGTTCACAACCAACACCATCGCATCCGACAGACATAGCGCCGCCGCCGCAGATCCAATCCTTTGTGCCTCCTTCGCACGTCTCTACTCTCCATCCGTCTTACAGGCCAGCAGCGCTGCCGTTGCCTCTTCCAACTACCCCTCAGTTTTCTCCAATACCGAACCCTAATTTCCAGAACTACGGGGTTCAAGGTCAAGGCCAGGTCCAAGTCCAGGTTCAGCCGCCAGGTGTGATGATGCAGGTGCCCTCGCAGGCAAGCGGCGCGATGTCTTCGATTCCGCAAATGATGCCGCCACAGTATGGACAGCCTGGCCAGCAACCAATGAGGATGTATGCGCCGATGCCTAATGGTTATCAAATGGCTGTTCCTCAAGGCACAATGAATCCTCCAGGTGGGTCATTTATCTTTTATTTGTATTGCTTGTGCCTGTTTTATTTTGGAATATATAATCGACTTGCTGTTGATATCTGGCTGCAAAGTGGAAAAGCTTGTGAATTTTGGTCATGGTTGTTTGATACATCTGTTCTGCTTGTATGTATACGAATCATTATAGGAATCTGTTTATATATGTGTGGATTTAGCCATTAAAGAGTTTACAAGTGTGAATAACAGTGAAAAAAATTGGTGGAGAGCAATTGGGAGGAGTTAGTAGTGTTGGTTTAGGGAGTACCGATGACAAAATGTTTTCTCGTACAGTGTGTCTATTGATTGATGTCATGGTGAGAAAGGTTGGACGGCTCTCATCCATATCGCAGTTCCTTAGAGACCATTACTCCCACAACTTTTTTGGTATGAAAACATTTTGCCTAGCTTCCTTCATTCTCCTTTACATAGACAAACATTAGTGGAAAGAATATACTTTTTATGATCCAAAATGACCCTTTGAGTTCTAGAAATTGAACGTCATGTCATGCTAAACAATTTGTGCCATGTTCATTTTTAGTAGGCTTTTATCTTAGTCTACTTTCCCTTTAATGGGTTCTTGAATCGTGATTTGTCGGCAGCAGAACATGCTAGCAACTGAGTGCTTCTTGCCCTTTACATGCCAAGGTATCACAATCCTTTCAACTACACTATTTGGTTTCTATTCTTTGCTGTTACTATAATAGTTCAAGATATAAAAAATGTTGGAACACAAATTAGAGTGTCATGTTGTTATCTGTGAGACTTTGGAAGTCTCTTGTTACTAAATTCAATTCTTCATGATTGGTGCATGGAATATTTTGACAAGGCCACTACTTTTCAGGATGCATGAGGTAAGCTGCTTCGTACATCCCATGATCTATGAATTCCATATTCTTGTCCTTATTTTCATTCAGGTTATCTGTTCAGCTGGTGTGCCTATGCTGCCATCTCTAATTGCTTTTAGTATTTGGGTAAACAATGTTGATTTGATCTTGTTAAGAACCTGACTTAATTTTGTTTAAAATGTTGAACAGAAGATTTCAATATTCATTCGGTGAACCTTCTCTAACAAGTTTGCATAGTATTTTTGTCTTATTTTTGCAGGGATTCTCCGTTATGCATCTCCATATCCACAAATGCTGCGACCGGCATATCCTCAAAGGCCACTTGGAGCAGTGGGAGTCATTCCATCATTAGCACGCCCACCAATGATGGCTTTGCGGGGTCCAGTGGTCCCTACAATCATTAGGCCACCCATCAATACAATAACTCCAGCTGAAAAGCCAATGACCACAGTTTATGTTGGCAAGATAGCATCATCGGTGGACAATGAGTTCATGCTCTCCCTTTTGCAGGTAAGTTTATTCTCACATCTTTACTGGAAACAGATCTTATTGCCCAATGTTCATGGACTTATTACACATTTATATGTCTTTTGAAGCTCTGTGGGCCTGTTAAAAGTTGGAAACGTGTACCAGATCCCACTACTGGGGCTTTGAAGGGCTTTGGTTTTTGTGAATTTGGAAATGTTGAAGGAGTTCTTCGTGCTTTAAGGCTTCTGAGTAAATTAAGTATTGATGGTCAGGAGCTCATGGTATGGTTTCAGCATTCTCTATCTTTCTTCTTCGTGTATATTCATGTAAATCATGCTCTATCTGATCTCTATACATGTTTCTTGATTTTGAATTTACAGTTGAATTTTGATAATGCAACTAAAGAGTATCTCAAGAGTTATGTTGAGAAGAAAAAAGAGAACTTGAAGAATACTGAAGGTGGTGGTAAAGAGGAAGGAAATGCATCAGGATTTGAGAAAAAGGACCCTCCAAAGGATGAATCTAAAAAGGAAGATGATAAGAATGAAGGAAAGAAAGAAACTGAGGAGTATGCGACTTTTGGCCTTGTGAGTAATGAAGATAAGGAAGCAGACAGAGAAGCTAGTGAAAAGCTTACAGGAATGATAGAAGAGAGGATAAAGAATAAACCTTTACCACCACCACCTCCACCCCCACAAGCTGCTCCTGATGTTGTTCCAAATTCAACCCCTGAACATTCAGATGTGGATACAACAAGAAACGGTAAATAGCTAAGGGGATGTTTCTTTTTTACTTAATCTGGACAGAATGACTTAATTGGTTGACTATTTGACTTGCATATGCAGCAGAAGATAGAAACGATGAAGAAATGAGGAGCAAAAGCAATGAGAGACCTGAAACAAGTTCACCTGACAGAAGCAGTAGAAGAAGCAGAGAACGTGAGAGAGACCTGAAACGTGAAAAGGAAAGGGAATTGGAAAGATATGAAAGGGAAAGAGAGCAAGATAGGGCTAAAAGAGAGAGGGAAAGGGAATACAAAATACGTGAAGATGAACGCAGATACAGAGCACGTTTGAAAGAGTGGGAAAACAGGGAAAAGGAGAAAGAAAGGACACGCAAACAGGAGAGAGAAAGGGAAAAAGATAGGGAACAAGATAGGAAATATGAGATTTTGGATCAAGAAAACGATGATGGGTATAACAAAAAGAGGAAATATAGAAGTAGTGGAGAGGATAGAGAAGAAAGAAAAAGGAGGTTAAGGGAGAAGGAAGAAGACATGGATGATAGAATTAAAGAGGAGGAAGAGATTGCTGAGGCTAAAAGGAAAGCCGAAGAGGAAAGGGAACTGCAGAAAGAACAACAAAAACATGCTTTAGAGCTTTTATCTCATAACACCAATAATGGGACTGAAAATGCTATGTTGATTGATGGAAGCTTGTTGGGAATCAGAAGTAAGACTACTGTTGTTGACCAGGCTAATGCTGCTGACATGCCACATGGAAACGAGATTGGTAAGTTGACTGAAGGCTCGTTTCTTTTTTACTTGAATACATTTAGCATCATGTAGCTAATAGTAGCACTATTGATTTGTGAATGCAAGGGTAAAATGGTCATTTACTCACATTCAGACAGTTCATTTACTTTCTTTAGCATGTCGTAATGGGTGTCACTCACTCTATGCATTAAGATGTTGCATTTTCCCGTTCTACCCATGTTTCTATTAGATTTAGTAGTTTTGCAGATACAAGGGTAAAATGGTCATTCACTTTCTTTAGTATGATGTATTGGGTAAGTGAGGAGAGTGTCACTTTATGATATCAGGCATTGCATTTTCCTGTTAAAACAGTAGTGCACTATGATTTTGTGAATAGAAGGGTAAATTGGTCTTTTACTCACATTCAGACAGTTCATTCACTTTCTTTAGCATGTCATAGTGTATGTGTCACTCTATGCATTAAAGACGTTTCCTTTTCCTGTTTGTTTAAGATAGTATCACTATTGTTTTGTGAGTAGAAGGGTAAAATGGTCATTTACTCGCATATTCAGAGAATTTTATTTTGAGCATGTAACAGGTAACAGGATTACACAGAATGGGGATGGTGAGGATTCAGAAACAAGGCAAAGCAACAGCAACAGCAACAGTGTCCAGACGAAAAAACTAGGGTTTGGTCTTGTGGGGTCAGGAAAAAGGACAGCTGTCCCATCACTCTTCCATGAAGAGGAAGATGAGGATGCAGAAAAGGACAAAAAGATGCGGCCTTTGGTTCCTATTGATTACTCAACAGAGGAACTGCAGGCTGTGAGAGACACTACGCCTCTTGCACCTTCTCCTAATTTAGCTGCAGCAGCTGAATTTGCAAAACGGATTGGAAACACCAATTCCAAAGATGAGAGACCTGATTCCGAAAGGGAACGGAGCAGACGATCCCATCATCATAGGGATCGGAATCATGAGGAGAAAGCAAAGACACCGGATAATAAGAAGCTTCTGGATGCTAAACAGTTGATTGATACAATTCCAAAAACCAAGGATGAATTGTTCTCATATCCGATTAATTGGGGAACTTATGATAAGGTCGGTCAGTATACTCTTTAATTACTATTGATTGATTATTGCTAAACAATTGATTGATTGCAGAATGGAGTGCATGAAAGGATGAGGCCATGGATTTCAAAGAAGATAACAGAGTTTCTGGGGGAAGAGGAAACGACACTGGTGGATTACATTGTGTCAAGCACTCAAGAACATGTGACAGCTAATGAAATGTTGGATCGGCTTCAGTCAATCTTGGATGATGAAGCTGAAATGTTTGTTCTAAAGATGTGGAGGATGCTCATTTTTGAGATCAAGAAACTCGACACTGGCATTTCTCTCTCTCTTCCTGGAAGATCCAAGGCTTCCTCTTGAATCTTCCATCTTCTTCACTTCTCAATCTCAATGTGGTACTTCCTTCCATTCACTCTTGTTATAGCCTTAGTACATTTCTTTCTATAACATTTCTTTTTTCTTTTCTTTAATCATACACCATGTATGTGTCTTTTGAATAATTCTATTCTAAATTCTTCCTACTATGTCTTCATGCTCTACGATAAATTACTTGTTTATCTTAACATATAAAGGATGCCAAACATTTCATACACAAGACAAAATTTTGAAATTTTATTTTTTGTCCCATGGATTCAGTCTTGTTATGTTATGTGAAATAATGTCATATCATAAATAAATAATTTCAGTTAAAAAGGAAACGAAACAGGAAAGTAGCCCAAAGTGTATTCGTATTCCTTATTTTAATGCACAATACAACTTTAGAGTTCAAAGGTGTTTTGTAAGTTTTTGTATTAATTATTTGGTTAAATGTAAAAAATAAATAGATTAGGTAGTATGTATTATTTGTTAACAATCTTCTAGTGTAAATATGTAATAAACCACCCCACCACTTTTTTATTTAATGTAAAAATTACATTTGTTATTTTATTTTGGCATTTTATGTAACTTCCTATATATATAAAAATAAAATGGCAAGTTCTGTTGCAATAAATGATAAAAGTTATAGTATTATGGTTTGATTCAAGCGTAATTTGATCCTAGTAAGAGTAGAGAGAAGCTGATTGGTTATCTTTCAAATCAAAGGTCATTATGATTTAGGCTCATGGCTTTGGGTCAAGTGGTAATGTCTGTCGACTTTTGGTCAAATCTAATCGTGTTGGAAACATTGTGGCTAGGGATGTTATTCGGGTCGGAACCGACCCGAACCCGAATAAACCGAAAACCGAATAAGGGTAATTGTATGAACCGAAAACCGAACCAAATAAGCAATACGGGTTCGGTTCGGTTCGGTTCGGGTATTATCCGGTTCGGCTCCGGCCCGAATAACCCAAATAACATGTACAAGATGATTAAGGAGCCGAATAACCCAAATAACATTTACAATGTGATTATAAATATTGTATTTTGTATCAATTTTCTAGCTTATGATTTCATAACAAATCTTTTAAAGAAACAAATTAAACACTAAAAATTAAACATCCAAAACACCCAAAAATCTATCTATAAGTATATAAGTTAAACATTAAACATTCCACATCCAAATTAAAATATGAATCTTAAGTTTTTATCTATACCCAAAATAACATTTTTCAAACACGAATTAACAATTCGGGAATATTAATTGGTTGTTTTCCCTTTCCATCTCCGTTCTTTATCGTCTCTTCTAAAGCTTTGGTGTAATTCGCTACTGTCGATTTGGTGTAATACAGATTATCGAATTCGATTTCGTTATTTTTTTTGGTCTATTACGTGGGTTTTGTTGGGTAACAATCGATAGAAAAGAAGACCGAATAAGCAATCGTGTTAGGAAAAAAATGTGACTTTTCATATTCGGTTCGGTCCTTTTGGACAGAATAAGCCCTTATTCGGGTAACCCGAAAACCGAATAAGCCTTATATAGATACCCGAAAACCGAATCGAATTGCTTATTCGGGTCTAATTCGGTTCGGTTTTCGGTTCGGTTCGGGTTTTCGGGTCAAATTCTCATCCCTAATTGTGGCCATTGGACTTGGTCAAGTCTTGTTGGAAACTTTATGGTTTCTTAATCTTGGTCCCAAATTATGAATCAAACAATTAATCATCACAAAATACCGTGAAAGTGAAACCAAACAATTTTATTAGTAACAGTTTCAGAACAAAGAGAATGTATTAAGACAGACACCTTAGTTTTTCAAGCACACTATAACCATCAAAGAAAAGAAAACTCACGTAAATAAATCTATTTAAAACATTACAACTAGCGTTACATTAAAATACTATTCTAGAACTAATCTAAACATAATGTTACTAGGGGTGAGTTTGATACCGAAACCGGACCTAATTGGTATCCATCCGCAAAATACTGCAACCGAATATGGCCAAGAATGAAAATCACCTATCGAACTACTATAGGGTTCACAACTACACGGTATCGGGTTCGGGTATTCACTATCAATCCCACTTTAGTATCGACTTTGCAAGGTGCAAGTTTCAAAGCAACAATAAATACATATATCTCAAAATTTAAAAACATAAAACTCGAAAACTTACCTTCAACTTCATGTTAACTTTAGTGAGTATTTACAAAAAATAAAACACACAGAGCACCTTACACAAAGGTTATGTATTACTTGATTAATGAAAAAAAGACAAAAACTAGATGCCTAAGAAGGCTTACACGAAAAAGAAAATGACAGGAAAACCAAAAAGAAACTGCTCCACTAACATGCCTAAAGTTAGGGAGGACAAGTGGACAACCCACTACCTAAAATGACTAAGTCGAAAGACTTTTCTGGGAAAGTAAATAAAGTAAACTTAACATATATTAAAAGATAGACACATGCAGAACATAGTCAAGCACACTTTGGTGTTGGATTTTAATACTCTCTCTCAACACTTGCTTCAATCATCTTCATTTGAGTGCATAACTCTACAATTTTCTTGCTTGGCAGTCCTTTAGTAAAAGAGTTTGCAACTTGTTATGAGGTCTGTACATTGTACATATTAAAGGCCAATCTCTCCTTCCAAGACCTTTTCACGAATAAAATGGTAATGAACTTCCACATGTTTGGTCCTGTCATGAAAAGTGGGGTTTCTTGCCAACTGGATATACGAAAGATTACCACATAAGAGTGGGATGTTGTAATCTACGTTTTGATTGAGACTTTTCAAGAGTTGAACTAGCCATACACATTCTTGAGTTGCCATGGCAGCTACTCGATATTCTGCATCAGTTGTGGATAGAGAGACGGTTAGCTGTCTTTTACTACACCACAATATTGCACTTGAACCCAACATAAACACATATCCATGCGTTGATCGACGAGTGTTTATATCCCATGCGTAATCAACATCACAATACCCAAGCAATTTGCACTTTGAATCCCTCTTAAATTCAAGTCCATAGTTAAGAGTAGTCTTCACATACCTTAGTACTTTACGGATAGCAGCCGAATGAGATCTTCTTGGACTTCGCATGAACCGGCTCAACACACCCATAACAAACGCCAAATCAGGTCGGGTTAATGTTAGATAAATGAGGCTGCCAACTATTTTCTTGTACATAGTTGGGTCTTCTAGTTCTCTACTACCATTAATCAATAACTTCACATTCGTGTAAACTGGCGTCATTGATTGCTTACAGTTGAGCATTCCAAATATGTTCAACAGATCAATAGAGTATTTGTGTTGGTGTAGAATGATATCTCCATTCTCATACTTCACTTCCAAACCTAAAAAGTGTTTGAGCTTACCAAGATCTTTCATGTGAAAACGTGTACATAGATTTTCTTTCACTTGAGCAACTACTTCAATGGAGCCGCATCTGATGATCAGGTCATCCACATACACCAAGACAATTGCAACTTCTTTTCCCGTTGCTCTTACGAAAAGACCTGCGTTAGCAGCCGTCATTGTGAAGCCGTTGTGTTCGAGGAATTATGCAATCTTCCCATACTATGCTCTGGGCGATTGTTTAAGCCCATAAAGAGCTTTCTTGAGCTTACATACATAGCTGGGGTGAGTTTCACTTCTGAATCCCAAGGGTTGTTCCATATGTATAACATGATCTATATCGCCATAGAGGAAGGCATTGTATACATCCATCTTGCATATATTCCACCCTTTACCTGCTACTAGGGCTAAAAGAACCCGTACTGTGGTTAGATTGACCACTAGACTAAACGTGTCTTCATAGTCCAGTCCAAATTGTTGTGAGAACCCACGGGCTACCAGTCGGGCCTTATACGTTTCCACAGATCCATCAAGGTTCCTCTTTATCTTGTATACCCACTTACATGAGCTGGGCTTCACGTCATCTGTCTTAGGCACTAACTCCCAGGTTTGGTTCCTTATTAGGGTTGACATCTCTTCCTTCATTGTTGTCATCCATTCATCTTTGACACACGCTTAGTTGAAAGATTTTGGTTCACACATGGAGCTCTCAACAATGGCATCATTAGCGTATCTAGGGTTCGGTTCTCTAAGTCTTGATGATCGCCTTAGATCTTCTTGTTCTCCACCACTTTCATCTGAGTTGGCGACATTAAATACTCCGTTTTCCATGGTTGTTGGCTTTATACACACGCGAATTCTTCTTCAATAATTATTACATCCTCATCAACATTAAGGTTGACTCTTGATGACTCCAAACCTTCCTTGAGTGCATCTGAGTCAGGTGGGGTTTCTCGGTTGGTAGACCACCACGAATATGTTTCATCAAAAACCACATTCCTGAAAACGTAACATTTTCCATTGATTGGATCACAACACCGCCAAACTTTCCTTTCTTGATCATACCCCACAAATATGCATCAAATCGCCTTCTTCTCCATCTTATGATGCATGCGACTAGGTATGAAACATAACAAACACGCACAGATACTCGAAGGTGACTGTCATTTGGTTTTAGGATCAAGAGTTTCTCATAAGGTGATACATATTGGAGACCTTGCTGAGGAATACGGTTGATAACATAGGTTGCTGTCTTCATTCCTTCTACCCAGCACTTACCAGGAATATTCTCGTCATGAATCATAATTCCACAAATTTCCGGTAGATGCATGTTCTTCCGTTTCGAGACACCATTCTGTGTGGGGTATTAGGACATGTTAGTTGTCTTGCTATTTTATGCTCCTTCAAGTACTTTGTGAATTATTTTACAAGATATTCACCCCCATTGTCTGATCCGAGCTTGCGTATATTGTACTTGGTTTCCCTTTCTGTCTCGAGTTTGAATTCCTCAAACTTATCAAAGGCTTCCAACTTCTCCTTCATGAAGTATACCTAAAGGAACCTAGAAAAGTCATCTATAAACGTAATCATATACTTCATTCCCTTCATAGAAGATTGCTTTACTGGTCCAAAAACGTCTAAATCTACTAACTCCAAAGGGACTTTAGCTTTGATAGTTTGATTTTTCACAAGGTAGTTGGTGAGCCTTACCAAATTGACAACCTGCAGACACTATTCCCTTGTTCGCCTCGAGATGTGGAAGACCATTTACAAGCTTGTTTTTCATTATCATGTCTATCTTATCATAACTAACATGGATTAACCGCATATGCCAAAGATCAACATTTTGGTTCTTTGTTTTGTCGGTATATGCAGTTTCAGCTGATATGACATATATTGACTATGATCTACGACCTTGTGCTACCGGTTTGGAATGAGTTTCAAACTGTGTAAATACTTTAACAACATCAGGCCCAAATAACACATAATGATCGGTTGATGTTAATTGTGATTCAGAGAACAAATTCTTTTTCATTCTAGGCACGTGATAAACATTTTTCAGCATCAACTCTTTTCTATTATCTTCTGGACAGAAAAGGACACTCCCAACGTGTGCCATTGGGAGTTTGGAATTATCTGCAATTACAACAACCCTGCTACCTTCATACTTGACT